AACTTGACTCTGCCATTGTATCCCTGGGTTTTTGCATGTTTTGCTTAGACAACAAAATGAGTGGCTTTAATTGAAATGTCACTGAGATGGAACATATCATTTAGACATTTTTCTTAAAGCAGAACACATACATGGTTTCCCAAAGCTAAGATTTAGACCAAAAATAAAACTTCAGTTTGGCCTTGGTGTGCACACTAGGGCACTTAAGTTCTAGGGCGTATAAACTACTGGCTTCTAGCAGACTGGCCTTGTATAGAAAGGCCCTGACATGAAGTCCCACATCACATTTTTGTGTGTGCATACTTTTCTGTTCCCTATAGCTCTTATCAACTGACTAGCATTTTTTTCAACGGAATTGAGTGGACTTGGTTTTAGGCTTTCCTATGGGAATTGCCTGGATGATCTGATAGTGTTGGAAAGAGCAGGAAATAATATATTAACTCTCTCAGAGTTTACTCAGTTATGCCAGTGCTTTTAAAAGCCAGAATGTAGATTTAGGATTTAAGCTGAATAGAGCAGAGAGATTTTTGAAGTTCAACCACAGTTTGATTTGTAATTGTTTTGTAATGTGACAGTAAAATTTTAGCTCTGTATTCTGAATTAATTATCACAGCTCCCACTTAAATGCAGCTTAGTCAACATTTCATCTTCTGGAATGGCTTGGAATCAGAAATTGAGCAAGGTGGGGGAAACAAATGTTATATTATAATAGAGAATCAAAATGTAATTTAATTTGTGTCCTCTTCTTCTTCAAGGCTGTTAAAGTACTCTTATTCCTTTTGCGTGATCTTTGTATATTGATTTTAAAGGAATGAAGGATAACTGTTCTCTGTTACAGCAAATGCTGCAATATGTGTACTACAAAAGCCTAACAACCATCCACTGTATTCATGAAGTCTCTGTCCACAGAGACCAAGAGATTTTGGCAGAAGCCGGGTTAGTGAGCTGGTTCTGTTGGTCTTCACACCACAGTGAGTAAGCTGAGCCTCCCAGTCCAACAGTATGGTCAGCTGTGTACAAGAGCCATGATTGATTGTAACAGCAGCTGATGAAACAAGACAAGTGGAGCTGTAAAGGCTTTGCTTTATTGCTTTTTTGCTTTATTTAGAAGGATGTAGCAGGTAACAGGGGCTTGATAACTGAAAGCAGAGGCTGGTTGTATGCTTAGAGAATGTGGTTTAGTGATTTAGGATTAGTGGCACAGGATTCACTGTGCTTGCACGTGTCCTACCAACAGGTCAGACTAGTAAAAAAGCATGTGAACCAGAGAGAGAGCTGGAAAAACCTGTGTGCAATAAAAAAACAGCATACATAGGGAATGTCAGAACTATGTGTGTCACTGTGATCTGTCACTCTCTCAGTAGTTGCCTGAGCTGAAGGGAGTTCCCAATCTGCTTGAAATTTGGGAGGTATGAAATTGTCATGGCAAACACTGTAATTTACTTAAGTGGCTGGGGCTACATAACCACTCCCACTGGGTTTTAGTCCATCTGTCTCATCCTCTGCCTTCCACACACCTTTTCTTACGTTGTCCCTTTTCCTGTTCTGTGTGACCAAATGAAATCAAATAAGTCAATTGGGATAAAAAAATCCGTGTTTTTTTAATTATTACAGTTTACTTGTGAGTCTCATACAACTCCCTGCAAGGGGATGCATAAATGCCTGGGCTAGGTATCATAGGGGAGATGTCAACAAGGTAGGAACACGAAAGGAGAGAATAGGAAGCAGGACTGAGTTTTCAGAAATATAATGTAGCCATACACACCCCTGCATGACTATTAGTCTGTAATGGGTCAAGACCTTATATTCCTAGATAACAGGGGAACATAACCTGAATTTCACTGTAATCTAAGTCATGTAGTTTCTTTACTGTAGTTCTGAGAGATACTTATTTCAGTTTACCTTAAGTTATATGCTACAGAATATTCCAAACTAGAATGCTATGGATGCTGTAACTGATATAAACTTGTAGTGAATAAGTGCCAGGGTGCTTTGAGTACCTTCGTGGTGATCAGTGTACTTTTGCAGAACTGCAGATAAGGTATGATTGGATTTAAGACTTATAAAAGGCACTAGAATGATACTAGTTGAGTGGCCAGTCCTCTGTTAAAACTTAAACATTTTTCCCTATCAAGAAAAAACATGCTTCATTTGCATTATTAAACAGCACTTATTGTCTAAGATTTGAGCACTCATGCCTGATTCTGCTGCTGTTGAACAGCTGATGCACTTCATCATGGAAATGACTGCTTTTAAGTCAACGTCTAATTGTTTTGTATAACAAATTTTCATAAAAGCAAAGAGAGGCTTCTCCATCTGTATAGAAGCAAACTTTGTTGAAAGAATTGGAATTAAATATTTGTAAATAAAGTATTGGGATACGTAAGTGCAATAGTTCTACCTAAAATCATCTAATATGCTCGTGGAAAATAAGATGCTGTGTTTAAGAGCATTAATCTAAAAATCACTACCAACGTCATGTATTGTGCCCTGATCTAAGTCCAAGTCATTCCTACTCAATAATATTCTTTAGCCAATTATAATTTTTCAATTTTATCCCTATGAAAACCTCAATATTTTTGCAGAATCATAAATCATAATTTATTTCTGGCTAATCCAATTTAGCCACTGTTTATCTCATGTTACATAGCTGCATTCATTTTCTGCAAAGCATGCAGTTTTACAGACAGCTACTCTTTGTATCTGGCTCTCTCTTTCCAGTCTTTTACCTTAGAAAAGTATCAAGGATTATTTATGTTTGCTCCTTTGGGCCTTAACACTTTTGTTATGGAAGTACTATGCTGATTCCTGTGATTATTTACAATTGTGGTTTTTTGTTAGTCTTGCAAAATCATGTGCTCCTTTTTTTTCCCCATGCCCAGACAAAGCAAAGAGTAGTTACTGCATGTCAAATGAATGGATATTGTTGTATGTCAGAAGTGTTTCTGACTGTGAGAAGGCTTCTTTCTAATCCACCTGAGTGTCTTGAGTCTGGAGTGTTGTTATTGTGGTAACTAGCTTAAAGTAATCCCAGCAGCTTTAGAGGAGAGGAAATTGCCACTCAATCAGTATCTTTCCTGAAAGAATGAGGAATGGATACTAAGATTTAAAAAGGAAAAATATAAAAATGTAGAAGTCAGCTGATGCAGAGTTGGTTTTTCATTGTGTATTGCTGGAGAGACATCTCTGTGTGATTTTTGTTAGAGAAGTAACATTTCCTCACTGTTAGGTTTAATAAAACGGGATTTATATCCACTACCTTCCCAGCAGACATCTAAAGCTTGTGTAGCTCTCCCTAGAATATAATGATGAAAGGTATGTGTCTATAAACAGTGTTCCGTTTAACATTCTTGTTACCTATGATTTAATAGAAAATACTCAGGGAAATAATATGGTATGCTTTTAACTCAGCAGTGACTCTGATATGATGCTGGTCATGATGTGTTGTTTGTTGTGGCTGGTTTTTAATGGTATCTGCATGGGTATGACTGGTTTATTATTTCCAGGTGTTGGCAAACCTGATTTTAGGCCAAGTTTCTGTCTCTGTGCATGAACTGAAGGACAATATTGGTCACTGTGGTGCTGTTACCATGGATAAAGCTTATGAGGTCTGGTTGTCCTGAGATCATCTCCACATATGTGGTTACCATTCCCAGGCATGGCTCTGCCAGCAAGGGAATTTACCCAGCTGCATTATACATGCTGTGGAATAGTCCATCAGGAAAATATGTTGGTGTCTGTCGCAGAAATACATTACTCTGAAAACAAGAAGAGAAACTTAATCACTGGGAAGAATTACCTCTCTGAGCTGCTTACACCAGGACAGTAATTTAGTTCAGAGGGACATGCAGGACACTGTCCCAATATACTATTAAGCCAAATACCATGAGTGATAACGTTATTCTTTATGCCTATATGTGTAGTTATAACCTGTCATAGAATATTAGAAGGCAGTGTCTGTCACTTTTGACACAAGTATAACCAGGAGAAGTTCTGCTAGAATTACTATAACAGTAAACTGCTGAGTATCTCTTATCAAGAGGCAAATTTAGTTTTATGTGGAATGAGGGTGGGTGCTACTGTACGACAGGTTTCAAGGAGTTGTGATTCAGTCTGACCCATACCACATTGTTCAGAGTGTTTCAGCTCTGAAGCAATTCTCCCAAGACCAATTGAGATAATGAAACTAGAAACATTTTTCGTTCTTGTAAGGTGAAAACTGTCATAGAAGTGATTTGGTGACTGGCAAGGCAAGTTACATTCTTAGTACTTTAGAAATGGTGAGATTTTGTTTATTATTTGTTGTTGAAGCTATTTGATGAGTTTTCATGTTGCTAATGTTATGCAATTTTGAAGCAATAGCTTTGTTTTTTACGTTCCCCATACAACGCTTTAATTGACAGTATGTGATTTGAAATAAAATTAAAAACCTCTTGTCATGGCTGTTGATTCAAACACAGTACAGGAAATGTTGAAAATCTAAAGGCAATTGATTTCCTGCAACGGATTAGTGATTCAGGCCTAAGCGAAGGAGTGGCCCATCGTGTCATTAACACCTGCCACTTTATTGCCTAAGCAGAAAAGATGCTCTTAGAGCCCAACAACTTTGGCTAGTTCTTCCATTAGCATCAGCTTCTAAAGGATCCAGACCTAAAATGTCTGTGTTTGATCTCTACTGAAAATAAGGTGAGCCTGTTCCTTTGTCTCCTGTGTGTAAGGGGAGAGCTTCTTTATTCCAAGGAAGTAGTGGTGATGTTGTTTAGAAATGCTTAGAAGAGCCTAAATTCCTGTTTCTTTGTTAACTTCTGTTAGCTTCTGAGTAAAGGCAATGGTTAATTAGATAGCAAATACCATCAAGAACCAGGATGCAAAACAAGTACTTTGTAGGGCTGATTCACTGCACTACTTTTTTAAAGGGTCAGGTCTTACATTTTTCTATTCTTCATTCTTGAATGTGAGAATACATGAGAAAGCAAGTCTGTTCATCCCCTGGCATTGCACAGCCTCCAGTCACATTTCCAAATAGAGAAAGAGGGAAAAAATAAGCTCTTAGCAGAGCTGTATCTTTCAAAAGAAGTTAAGCAGTGAGATACAAGTCAGCTTTGTATTTTTGTATTTTTTAAAGTTGCAGAAAGATAACAGAGGAATAGTCTTGGCTTTTATTGCGGGACACTGAACAGAAGATTCTCCAGATACAAAATGTATAGGAAATTCTTGCTTGTTCTGATTCTGCCCTGGTGAGTTAAAGAACAGTTTCATCTGGCTACACAGTAGAGTAATTTTGGATGAATTATTGAGGTGAATTTGACGAGAATATGTGTGTGCTTCAACAGAGACCTTCAGCATCAACATAAGACTTGAGATAATGAGTTGTTTGCTGAATGTTTTGGTTGAATTTTCTCTGAATTAATTGATAATCTGATAAATTATGCAGATTTCCTGAATATATGGAGAGAAGTGAGAAACATTATTTAATGTGATTAATTTTGTTTGTGTATTTAGTAGAAAACAGCTTATAAAATGCAGTGTGTTTTGTTTTTCTTGAAGGAGTTTTAATTGCAGTGAGTAGTGTGCTTCAAAATGTCTCTTTTGAAGATGAGTTTTATTTGGTGCTCAGCTTGTTTTAAATAAAACTCTTTGCATGTTCTGGTGAATATTTGCAGATGATGAAGGGAGTCAAACCACATAAGAGCACCAGGTGTATTAATGTGGGGAAGAAAGTAATTACCTGAGCTATAAAATTCTGGACTTAGCCTGCTTATTTTTGCAAACTCGGACATTGGCTCCATGCCATCTCCAAGTGTGTCACTCACAGGCTCAGTCTGTGCAGCAGTACTCACCTGTATTTTTAAAGGACTTTTAAATAAAGAAATGACTGCTACAGAGTATTTGAGAGCTGGAAGTTTTGGGTCTTAGTAACAAACAACAAATTGTAGGGCAAAGCTGACTATTTAAAAGTACCTTCATTTCCTGCCAGTGACACTTCCAAGGATACTTTTGTTTAAAGTCTTTTTTTCCCTGACCTTTGTCAGGGAAAGAATTTCTGGACTGGAATATTCAGGATCTCAATCTTTGAATATTACTAACGGGGCATGTCAGATATGACAATAATCTCCCTGGAGTTCGTTCCAAAACGTCTTGAATTTTGCAGATATGGCAAAAATGATGGTTTATAAGGTCATGATTGGAATATCCCTCCATCATGCCATCAGGAAAAGTTAAAGCAAGCACTTCTCTACTGATTCTGCGTGACTGCTGCTTGCCAGCAAATTAGCTTGCATGCTAGTCTTTCACATATTTGGAAGAAGATTTTTTTATGGCACTTATATCCTATTATATGGACACAGAGTCTAGAACATCAGATTTCCTAGCTAAGGTAGGTGTTGCTTTCTTGTGGTTATTAAGAAGAAAGCAACACCTTTTTCTCTTTGTTTTTGCCCCTCAACAAAGCCTCAGGCAACTGTCTTCAGAAGAATTTAGTGCTAGGCACGCACTGCCTAGTAGTATTTTAATGGATGTGATTTATGTTAAGGGAAACAGTGGAACACAGATAATCCCATAACTACTGATGGGGGGGATTTTTGCATAGCTGTGCATGTTTAACACATATTGTGTTATTTAAGTATTGCATTGAATGAAATGTTTATTCTCTATATTTATTCATAAAATCTTCAGTACAAAAGCAAAAGTCTAATTGAAACAGCACCTATCTATCCTGTCACTCTGAAGTGTATACGTTTAGTGATAATACATTCTTTTTCATGTATATGTATGAAAGCAAACAAACTGTAATGCTGTAATCTATTTGTTCAGTCAGGCTCACTGTTGAAACCATTCCATTGCCAGTTTAGGTTAAATGGAGGAACACTAAATCCATGCCCTTGCTTTCATAAGAACAATGCCAAGTATTCCCCTGTAAAGAGGGTGAATAGAGCTATAAAAAGTGGCCACTTCACAATTAATAGTTCTACACAATCCGACAGAAATCTAAGTCCACTACTGAATTTCTAAAGGCGGGTCAATAAAAGTAACAATCTCTATGCAGTTTTGTGAGAAACAGGCATTATTTCTGTGCAATACCGTAGTTATCCTTCTTACTAGGCTCTATATGGTTTTCAAAAGCAAACACCCCATTAATTTAAAACAAAGAACAAATATGGGTAAGTTTTTCTTGCTGATTTCTTTTTCCCACGGAGATGAGCACTGAATTGATGGCAAATGCTTAGAGACCCCATTGGTAGCTCCAGGAGCAGTTAGATAAAGATTCTAAATTGTCACATAGATTTTTTTTTTCTACTGAACTTATATACACATTTTGTATATATAAACAGTGACTATGCAGTGACTGTAAAAATGTAGCAGAGTAAAAAAGTTGGTTTTAAAATTCGAAGATCATACAAGATTTATTGAATTCCCATCTTTAAAACTTAAGAGCCTCTATTTGGATAGATATTTTAAAAGACCAGAGAAGTTAATTCCTTAATACTTAAAAAATGAGAGCCTTCTAAAAAAAAATAAATCTTCAAGTTAGGGGTTGGGCACTTTTTAAGGCTAATAATTGCTAGAAAATTCTGGTGAAATAGTAGCAAACTGACAGAACCAGACTTGAGCTTGCCATTGATGTGTATTGTTTTTATATCCTTAGGGAAATGAAGCCTTTCAGGGAGGCTTTCAAGAGGAAGAGCTAATAAATTGCTCTGAAGTTGATACAAGCTTCTCTGGGAAAAAGAGCAGGGCCTGGAAAGCCTGTGATAGAGAGCTACTGTTTTCAGATACCTATATTAAATCTCAGACGTGCTTTCCTGCCAGCTGCTGCAGTGCAGAAGATTAGCAGACATGTCCATAGCACTCAAGCAAGTCTTTAATAAAGATAAGACTTTCCGCCCAAAACGCAAGTTTGAGCCCGGAACCCAGAGGTTTGAACTTCACAAACGAGCGCAAGCATCTCTCAACTCAGGTGTGGACTTGAAAGCAGCTGTGCAGTTGCCCAGTGGAGAAGATCAGAATGACTGGGTGGCTGTTCATGTTGTTGACTTCTTCAATAGGATCAACCTCATTTATGGAACTATCTGTGAGTTCTGCACGGAGAGGACCTGCCCGGTGATGTCTGGAGGCCCCAAGTACGAGTACCGGTGGCAGGATGACTTGAAGTACAAGAAGCCCACAGCATTGCCAGCACCCCAATATATGAATCTTCTCATGGACTGGATCGAAGTGCAAATCAACAATGAGGATATATTTCCTACAAGTGTAGGTAAGTCCTAAAGCATAAACTGCCTTTCATTCTTGTACTAAGCATGTGCTCTTCTCACATATTTAGGGACAGTAAAGCTGTTGAACAGCAGGTGGGGAGGAGGAGGGATGAGAAATAGTATGCAGTGTATGAAATGTTAACTGTGGTAGCTAGGTATGATGGTGTCTGTTAGCCTTAAATGTTTGTCCCTGATGAGCTTCTCAGATTAATCACTGAGGGTGATCAACATTGCGTTAATACCTTCTTGAAAGCTAATCAAACTTGTATGGCTTTGCACTATGTCCGGCTACTTAAACAGATACAGAATGGATTGAAAGCAAAACTTGTCTGAGTGCTCTCCTAGTGTGTACATCTATGTACAAGAGAGTGGAGAGTCAGGAATGCAGTGAACTTAGCCCTCCCACCCTCTCTTCAGTTCTCATCCAAAACTCACAAGTTGAGAAGTGAATTAATCTCCAAAGTATTGCTTTCAGTGCTACATGTAACTAATAAGCATTGCTGTTATTAGGCAGAGAGCCCAGATGAGAGAGCTTTTAACAGCTTCCCCAATTTCCTTTCATAATATTCTCTCTGAAGAGTGGCATAAGTAGGTGGAAGTATCCTTGCTGAAAGCTGAAGAGTGCATTGTGTAGTGTAGACAGCATAAATATTTAGCTGTGGCTGCACGCAACAGCAACAAAAGAACTTATTCTTTAAAAATATCATGTACTTGCATGATCTTTAGCAGTTTTAATTAATGGGTCCTGATTTTCTGCTTTCAAATGGAAAAGCTGAGAGCTTGCTGTAAGAAATGTAAGTTGTTGTATATTAGCTAACCCAGATAAGTAACAAACAAGAAGAATGCCATATGTTTAGATTAGTTCAGCCCAATATTTTGGAGTTCATAGGCAGCTAGGGCCTGTGACTAATTGGTAGATGATCCATCAAGAGTCTGTGTCTATGAGTGTTTCCAGACCTTTGAAATACCTTATTCTTGGACTTGATAGATATTTATCTGGACAAACCTGTGGTTCATTCCATAGTTTCTATCACTTTTCTGTTCTACTCTAATAGGTAGAAAGGATGCATTAACTACGTTTTTAATCTGGAGTTTGACAACACAGCCAGAAGAAGGAGGATATCAGAGGAAGCAGTATCATGTATTTTGTGTAGTGAAAAATGGATTTGATTCCTCAAGCATTGCTTACTTTTTGTTTCTTCAGGGTAAATAGTTTTTGGAGTTGAAGATTGGTCGAAGGTGCAGAGCAATAGGTGATTTTGCTTCCACTGGTATTTCTACAGGATTTTGTTATACCAAGTTTCTACCTTGGAACATTCCAATATTGTTCTATTTTCTTGTGGTTTGCATATGTAGAAAGTGTTGTCTGTCAGCAGATAGGGGGAGCAGGTAGCACACTGGTGTGCTGATGGGTTTTACTGAATCAACTGATTATCTCTAACACACAAGCATTCAGCCCTAGATGCTCCCCCATTATATTTGTAATAAGATAGTTCTGAAGGAAATTTTATCCTGATGGTTTACTTATTGTAAGCTAAGATTGAAATCAGTATTCTCAGTCTACTTCTCCTCCCAGAAGCTTCTGTTGTTGTTGATTAAATCAAACATGAAGGAACTGAAGAAGGGGAAAGACTTCTGGTGTCTAAAATGGTGCTGAACTCTGATAGAAGTCCAAACAGGAAATCTCAATTTCATGAAAATCTTTGCCCCACTCTGAATTGACTTTTGGGCTATGCTGTACTCATATTACAGACTGAGCTGATTGGACAGTCCCATAAAGAGATTCTACAGGTATCTTTAGAGCAGTATTAGAGCAGCACTTGTACCTCTGTTCTTTTCTTGCCTCCTCTTCAGCCTTTGTTGCAGATACCGTACTGGCCCCCTGCATACTTCTCATTATCTTTTGGATTTACTACTTTTCATATGAAACTGTTGATAAAATTGTTTCGGAGGTTTTAGATCTTTCAATTCAGGAACAGATACATGCTGTGTTGAATTTGGTGTTCTGTGTATCTCTTGTATGAGCAAGTCCCTACTTAGGGACACAAAACAGTCGTATTTGGGCTGACTTTTCCATGAACAAATCAGTTTGATGATGAGATTGTTTTAGTAAGAGCTGTTCACAGAAACCCTGAACACACTTTTCTCTGCTTAATCCTATTAAACTTTTCCTCTTTCATTTGGCATATCTCATGCAAACTATCTAAAGAGGGATTTCAAGAACTGTGATTAAGTGCAGCTTTCACTGAAGAGCTAGTTTCAAGGAAAATCATTTCAGAGTAGGGATAGCCAGGTTTGGTAGGATCTTCATTTTGTGATGGTGGTGTTCCTCTGTGGTTTAAAAAAATCAAAAACAAACAAAAAAACCCATGAATGCAATTAAATTATAAATTGTTATAAATGTTATATTTAACCTTGTCAGTGTTTATACTGGCACAATGGCTTCTGGCCTCATAGTAGTCAACCCGTGGTCTGGTATTTCCTCTCTGCTTTCCCCTGTCCTTCTGATTTATTCATTTTCTGGTAAAGAGCCTCTTTCTTTAACCACTCCTGCACTTATAGGGAGATGATTGTATGGAAACAGAACTGTCAAGAATTGTGTGCAGGTGATAAAAGCAGTTGTTGACTATCAAGACCACTTCTTTTTATAGCAAAACTTGAAGGACTGTTTTTGTAAAATGGCCTCACAGTCTGTAAAGGATTGCAGACATTATTATATTCTTGATATTATTTCCATTATTATAAATTTCTTTATCTATTTAAGTGGGTTAAGAGGCTGACAGTTCTGGAAACAAGCTGTGGAGGTAAGCACATGGAGATCTGTCTCAGTCCTCAGTGGGTAACAATGCAGTAATAGAACAGAGGAGAATCTGTATGCGTGCTCAGCCATTACAATGAAGCTATCCATCCCCAATATTTTTGTAATGTGCTTGTGGTTTATTTAGCTTTAGAGTAAATTCTTTGGTAAATACTAGTTGCTCCTTAGGGTCTAGTACGTAGTCTCACTGTTTAACACTTTTCAAGGAATATGTTTCTCAGCTTTTGGTAAACAGTCTGAAGAAATAATTTGGAGTGGAAAGCAGTAGATCCTTGGAACAGATAAACTTTTTGTTGAACTGTAACTGTCAGCTTTCACCATATGAGTTTTGGCAATGTCAAAAAAGTAGCTAAGAAAGAAAGCAGCCCTATTCTTCTGTGCTCCCTTTAAATCACGATTCTCAAACACAATAAATTCATTTACTTTATTTTCTGTACTTATTGCAGCCTTAAAATGAGAGTAATTATGTCTTCTTTGGATTTTCAGTGAGTGGAATGCTGAGGGGTTTTCTGTTGTAAGAGTCACTGGGAAAGAGATGAGAAATTTAAGGCCACAGGGCATTATGGCACTTACTCTAATCTGAACTCCAGCATAACACAGGCTAAATAACATCACCACATGATTACTTCATCAGGTCCACAGATTCAAATGAGAAGATGGTCAAACAATAGAAAATGTTGCTGAAATTAACAGAAATTGGACTTATTTTCTGGCTTGACATAACGATTTTTTTTTCCCAATGAAGAAAACAAAGTAGTTGAGAGAGAACACAGCTTGTGCCATCTCCATCCTTCAGGGTTTTCAAGATCTGGCAGAATAAAGCCATGAGCAGTCTGATCTGATGGGATGCAGGGTTCCCAAAATCTTAATTATTCTGTGATTCTTAATCCAATTTCAGCACTGCTAGGCCGCCTAAGGAAGTAAAAGAGCTAAATTGATTAAAATCTGATTAAACCGTTTAAGAAACCACAGTCTGACAAAGGAAGTACAAAATCACTTTTAAGCTATGAGAGCTTTTGTATAGGAGGATTTAAAAAGTTATTAATGTGATTAAATAGCCTAGTTGTGGCTGATCAAAATAAAAAAAATACTTAGTACATATTTAAAGCCTAGGACTTCAGCTGAAAAGTTAATGTATCTTTATCAATACTTCAGCCATTCCATGTTTGACTAGTAAATTTTGGTAGCTAGCAGCTTCACCTTTTGCACAGAGCATGTGTGTGATGCTACTTCCAAAGAAAGGAGCCCAGTGTGTCACCACAATGCACCTAAAAAAGCAGACCAAGATTCTGGAGGGCCTTTGTGGACATGATTCAAATTTCTGTATGGTTTCCTACTAATATTGTGGTAGAATTTTTCTAGATCTCCATCCAGTAATAGTGGTTACTGCTTGAGGCACTTTTCTGAAGCAGCAGGAGAGCAGGTCACTGGTGGATGTGAAAAGACTATGCTCAACTGCTTTTTCTGAGCAAAGGGCTCTTCACAGTACACCCTCTAGAAATGTGGGGAGCATGTTTGACATCACTGACCTTTTCTTACAGTTATGTCTGTCTTATTTCCTCTTCCAAAGTATGAGGAAGTGTCTATAGTGTGGGCAAAGTGGTGTTTGCTGGCATTTTCTGCATATACTTCATTTTTTTTTGCAGCTGTTGCAATTGCACTATCTAGGAACTGCCATTGTTTCATGTATAACCACTCCACAATAAAAACACACAATCTCTATAGCCAGTATGTTTCCTTCTTTTAAAGAGAAAGCTTTGCCAAGGACCAAAGGGAGGGGTGAGATTGCTGGCTGTTAACTGCTAGTTCAGTCACCCAGTGCTGAATGCGTGTAGCTGTAGTGGACTACCTGAAGACTAATGTAAACTCCAGACAATCCTTTCTGCTTCATCTTTGCACCAGTCACACTACTGATGAATGTGGTCTATATAAGGGTTTTATTTTGTAAAGCTTATCTGCTTGCCCCTATTGCTGCCCTTTCTTAATCACTTTTTCAACATGGATGTGCCTGCCAACAGCTTTGAATTAATCTTTGTCAATGACATAAAGAAAATTCTGCAAGACACAGACTGTTCTACAGCTTTTTTCCAGTCATTAAACTTGATGAATTTTGTGCTTATATGTCTGTTACAGCAGCAGCACAGCTCTCCTTTTAGAGAGTTTGGTGTCTTGAAGTAGATGTGC